AAAGAGTGGACCAGAATAGCTTTTGTAACTTCAGAAGTCTGGGGCTGCCTCTTCTGATGTTACCACCTAATGTTAAAAATGTGTCTTTGTCCTTTTGAAGAGTTTTCTTCTTCCTTCCCCTCTTTTATCTGGACCTTCTCTTTTATCCCCTAGTGTCCTGTCTTAGCAAGTTCAGACTGTTACAAAAAGATATTATTACTCTAGACTTAGAGGCTTAAACAAAATGCATTTGTTTCTCACAGTTCTGAAAGCTGGCAAGTCCAAGATCAATATGCTGGAAGATCTGGTGTCTGGTGAGAGCTGGCATCCTGGTTCATAGATGACTGCCTTCTTGCTGCACTCACATGGCAGAAAGGATGAGCGAGCTCTCTGGGTCCTTTTATATGGGCACCATCTCCACTCATGAGGGCTCCACTCTCGTGACCTAATCACCTCCCAAAGGTCTCATGTCCTAATACAGTTACATCGAGGGTCAGGGTTTCCACATAAGAATTGGGAGGGGGCAGGAAGAACCACAGTGATTCAGCCCATAACACCCTTCCAGCAGCTGCTCGTTGCAGAGCTGTCCTTGGATCTGGGCAAGAGGCGCCAACGCCCTTGACACGCCCTCCCTCCTTGGTCACGTCTCTTTCCCTAGAGCAGGAGACGGTAGAGCAAAGGGCCGTGCCAGCCACAGCCACTGCTCCCCTTGTAGACCACTCTTAAGCTTGCCTGGGTCCCTTAATTTAACACCCAAAGAGCCCTAATTCCCCATTCTCTATCCACAATCAATTACGCCAATAATCAGATCCAGGACACAGGGTCATTGGGAGGCTTCGACTGATTGAGCACTCTGAATCCGTGTCAAGTGCTGCTCTTCCTGTTCACTCACTGCTGGGGTCCAAACAGATTCAATTTGGATTTCAACTCTTGGTCACTCTGAAAATTGAATTTTACCTAAGATCTAGGTGGAAGGATGCGATCCCCACACAGGAACACCATGCACCTGAACTATGAATGGTGAAGAGCCATGCCATCGGCAGGCCCACTCGTCCATGAGTCACAGGCGCATTTGCCGGCGTCCTCGGGGCACTCACCATATGCAGCAGCATGGACTGCCAAGGCAGGAAGGAAAGAGAAAAGTCCAGAAGTGTCTATGAATGGGTGCATCTGTGTGTGTGTAGCTGGGCTTCCCAGGTGGTGCTAAAGGTAAAGAACCCGTCTACCAATATAGGAGACACAAGAGACACAGGTTCTATCCCTGGGTCGGGAAGATCCCCTGTGGGAGGCATGGCAACCCACTCCAGTATTCCTGCCTGGAGAATCCCATGGACAGAGGAGGCTGGTGGGCCACAGTGCATGGGGTTGCAAAGAATCAGACACGATGGAAGCAACTTAGCCCAGCACATACATCTAGTGAGGGAGATGATGCTCTGCTCATTTGTATTTGGAAAGCAAGACAAAAAGGGTGAACGACTAGGGACATGAATGAGCTGGATTTAAATCTCAATCTGATTCCCAAACTGAGACTCTCAACGCTTCAACTTCACAATCTGTAACTAGCTCTCTCATGACCATAATTCATCAATTTCAGTGGAAATGGAATTGAGCACCTCCTACATTCCAGGCACTAGTCCTTACGTTTCTCTTGGAGAAGCACATAAAAGCTATTTAGCAAGTGATCACATGTCATATCAGAGTGCTGGTACACTTCAGAATACTAAGCAGAAGCTGGGGGTCAGGTGCCTCCAGGAGAGGGTTTGTCAAGATCAAGGTGGTGGATTTGAAGGACACAGGGGCAGAAGGCACAATAAGCAGCGCTCTGCCTTCTTTTATTTTCCCTTCTCAGTCTGCTGTCCTATGACCTTGAGTGAATTACTCAAACGTGACTTCCTCAAGCTGTCTCACTGCAAAAATGTTAAATGAACACCAACCATCTGCATTGGTATTAGTCAGGATTCTCCAGAGAAACAACCAATGGGATGGATGGATGGATGGATAGATGGATAGACAGACAGATGATAGATCATAGGAAGATAGATAGAATGATAGTAAATAGATTGATAGATGATAGATAAATGGATAGACAGAATGATAGGCAGATAGATAGATTGATTATAGATAGATAATACATAGAGAGATAGAAAGATCTTTTGGATTAGAATGATCTATCCAATAATACCAATCTATCATTTATCTATCTATTTATCTTCCCTATTAGTCCTGATTCTCTGGAGAGCCCTGACTAATACAAATACAGATATTTTATCTATCTATTCATCTATCTCTCCAGCTAGCTATAGGTAGGGAGGGAGATTGGTTTATTTTAAAGAGTCAGTTCCTGAGACAGAGTTGGCTGGCCTGTCCAAGGCTATGGGATGGGCTGGCAGGTTGGAACTTCCAGCAGGAGTTGATGCTGTAGCCCTGAATCCAGAGGTGATCTGAAGGCAGGATCCTTTCCTCTTCAGGGAACCTCAGTCTTTCTTAAGGATTTTAACTGATTGGATGAGGTCCACTCACATTATGGTAGGTGATCACTTTTCTCGGAATCTGCTGATTCAAATGTTCGTCTCATTTAAAATGGCTTCCTTGTAGCTGAGCTGGTAAAGAATCCACCTGCAATGCAGGAGACCCTGGTTCAACTCCTGGGCTGGGAAGATCCCCTGGAGAAGGGACAGGCTGCCCACTCCAGTATTCTTGCGCTTCCCTGCTGGCTCAGCTGGAGAAGAATCCGTCTCAGTGCAGGAGACGCAGGTTCGATCCCTGGATTGGGAAGAGCCCTGGAGGAGGGCATGGCAACCCACTCCAGTGTTCCTGCTTGGAGAACCCCATGGACAGAGGTGCCTGGAAGTTACAGTCCGTGGGATTGCAGAGTCAGACACGACCAAGCAGCTAAGCACAGCAGAGGCAGCTCTAGTGGCACAGAACCCGCCTGCCACGTGGGAGACGTAAGAGGCGTGGGCTTGGTCCCTGGGATGGGAAGAGCCCTGGAGGAGGGCATGGCAACCCACTCCAGTGTTCTGGCCTGGAGAGTCCCATGGACAGAGGAGCCTGGCGGGCTACAGTCCCTAGGGGCGCAAAGGGTTGGACACAACTGAGCAGGTATGCACCCTTTGGCCATCTTAAACATACCTTCTCAGCACATCTAAACTGGCATTTGACCAAACAAGTAGGCACCAAAGGCCAGTCAAGTGGACACGTGAAATTCCCATCACAGGATTAAAAACTGACTGCAGGCTGTGACATCAGAGGTGTCCAAAGGCCAGGATGAAGGGGAAGTAGCAGCAACCTACCCACTGAATGCTCCAGACTCATCTTTCCCCACTACTGCAATGCAAGGTCTTTTCTGTGGCGACAAAGCTGACATTTGAAGATGCCACTGATTTCATCTCTGACTGACCCCCTACATCATCCAGCATGGCCCTGGTTGGCCACCCCCAGGCTCTGCGGCCAGTGTTGGGGGCCAACCTGCGAGGGGGAGGAGTCGGAGCAGGGGATCCTCGTCTCAAATGTCACAGTGATTTATAGACTATATTTCCCGGGGAAAGCACCAAGATTTATTTCCAGCAGACAGGCTGTTTATAAACACACAGCTCACAGGTGTTGCCGCCTGGGTGGCTGAGCCCTCAGGGGCTTATGCCTGCAGCCAGGAAGAGGAACACAGGCAGACCAGAGCCCAGACCAAGGCCTTGGGCTCGGAAAGCCCACCCAAGGATGCGTGAAATAATAGCTCTTTTCTTTATCTCCTCGGGAGACAGGGTACCTTATGCTGCCTCCCTGGTGAAAAGGGAGAGGACAGAAGTAGTAGTAGTAAATTTGCATGCTCATAATAAGCTTTAGAAGCTATAAAGCAATTACTGATGGGAAACAAGAAGAGACTAACACGTCTATAATCAATCTGGAGATGCTGACTCACCTCTCCCAGTCGCTGATAGCTGGACCAGAAATCACCTCCTGAAGCCAGGACTCAGGGGTCCCTGGAGAGAGGAGGTGAGCTGACGGGGGCGTGGGCGGAGTCAGGGAGGAAGAGTTCTGCAGAAGCAGAAAACAGCAAAAAGGGCCTTTCTCAGCCCTGTCTTTGGTGGAAGGAGAGGAGCCCACCCAAGAACCCCAGGCCTCTTCACCTCCTCAAATAGGCCCTTCCCTGGACTTCCACAGGAGAAATCAAACCTCTATGATCTCATAGCTAAAACTTGCACAACCACAGCGATGAACAAGTCACCCACAGAAAAGCCCAGCAAGCAGCAATATCGGGAGAAAAGAACAGACCCAGACTTCAGAGGTTTTGACCGCCGTCCACGGAATGCAAAACAGCAAATGCAAATCCGGAAAAAGAGGGAATCAAAGACATGAGTGAGGATCAAAAGACTCACCTACAAAAAAAAGGGGACAGATTCAAAAGAGGATGACATGGAGCCCCAGTGAATGGAAAATAGAATCCACGAGCTCTCTCGTTAGTTCTGATCTGTAGACGGTTTGGATTCTGGGCTCATCACATCTCTGCATGAAGTCGTATGAGGGACGCAGGTGTGGAGTGGGCTTCCCTGCCCCTCCAGGGTCTTCCAAGCTCCTAGCCACCTCTGTGCTCACACTCAGGTGCAAGGTGCACAGTTCACGCACCAGTGACACGCAAAGTCACTCACAGCCTGCAAGGAGCCCGCGGGGAGGGGGATACTCCTGTCACCTCCAGCTCCTGGCCAGCATCTTTCTCCAGAACGACAGGTGGGTACTTCCTCATCAGCTCACATGGTGACCAGCTGGTATCTGCTCACACCCTGACCCCCGGGAGCCCACGTTCTGCCCCAACGGGGCTGTCAGGAAATTCCCTCTGCCCACGAACGGCATCACCCCTACCTCGCCCGGGACGGTGGGATCTGGGTCTGTGCCGTAGGCACATCGCAGTCCCCGGGATGACCTTGCCTGACGTGGGGTAAGCTAAGAGCAGGGCGGGGGCGGGAGGAGGGCCCGAGTCTGTGAACTGGGGGCAGGACGTTCGCCTCCCGAGAACACCTTTCCGCGCGATGGAACGGACCTGGTCCCCCAAGCAGCCTGCCTGCGTCTCCCGCTGCCCCCGCGTCTCCCGCTGCCCCCGCGTCTCCGCGAAGGGCAAAGCGCCCCCCTGGCGCCACGAGGCTCCGCGAGCATGGGTAATGTCTATGCAAAGCAGTTGCTTTTAAGCTCTTTTATGTGCCTATCATATTAAAAGCGATCCTTTGGAAATTACCAAGACGTGAGGCACACCTGCCTGCAATTTTTATAGCTTCTTTTATCCCCCAAAGTGAGGAACGTAAAACGCCTGCCTCTAGACCTTTCTGTCAAAACGGGGCCTGCGGGTGCCCCCCCCGCCACGCCCGGCCTGGTGGGCTAGGAAGCTCCTCCCCTGCACGGTCCCGACAGCGGCTCCCGCAGGCCCAGGCCTCCCCGCGGAGGCTCTGCCCACGGCCTCGCCTTCTGCCCCATCCTCTCTGCCTGCCCCAGGCGTTGCCACCAGACATGTCTGTCCCAACAGAGCCCTACCTACTGTGTCCTCCTTGGCTTAAAACCCCACAGCGTCCTCAGTGTTCCCCCGGGTGGCCCAGGCCACTGCCTGCACCCCCTCTTTAGGCACCCTTCCCCCAGGGCTCCCCCCACCACCACGTGACATCCAGGGATCCTCTGGACCCATTCTCTCCACCCTCCACTTGTCACCTTTGTTATCTGAATGCTCACATTACCCCATCAGCAGCCAAGATGCTCTCAGCCACCTCTGAAACAGAACCTTCCAGAACACCAACAGAACTCGCAGAGTCCTTTGCACACAGCTCCCTCTCGCTAATGAAGCACCTGGCCCTGATTTCCTACCCTGCGTCCCCGGAGTTGTCCAGCTGGACACGGATCTCAGGCTCCCTGTATCCAGCCGCCAGCCCGCAGCAGCAGGTCAGCCTGTCCGTGGTCCCCCACCCTGGGTCCCCTTCTCCCAGGCCCACCCTTTGCCAGAACGCTGTATTTTCCCCAAACCTCAAGTGGTCCTGTCTTTCTGAAAGTCCCACCTGACACATCCCAGGAACCCCAGAGAGATGCCCTGGGTCAGCAGGGTATAGAGCAGATGGCGATGCTGGGTTTCACCTTAGAGACAGACTGCCTGCTCGTTTCCAGAAGCATCCAGACTGTGCTGTCTGAGTTCAGCATGGCAGCTCAGGGACCACGGGGACCGGGCTGGCTGGATCTTCTGCCTTGACCTCCATCCTCCCCCAATCACCTCCGGGACATCCCTAGCCCGGCAGTAGGAAGAAGGAGGGGCAGAGGACCCCAGCAGGCTGGCTGATCAGACTCCCCAGACTCCCCAGAGGGCCTTCCTAGATGCCCGGTCCCTAGCCGTGACTCCGCCCCTCTCTCTGCAGCCCCCGCCTTCTGGGAGGAGCGGGGAGATCACAGTTCGGGTTGGCTCCCACTGCCTCTGTTGCTAAGGAAGAGGGGAGCTTGGATTTGGGGTCCACGGCTGACGCTCTCCAGCTCTAGGCGCCAGGGCAAATCCGCCTCCACCCTCGCCCACATCTCTCCTGCTTTCCCGCCAGCCACCGGCTGCCCGCCCCCCACCCCGCACCTCCTCTCCCCTCCAGCCCCCACATCCGTCCACCCTTAGCCCCCTCCCCATCCTCCCAGGGGACCAAGTGCCTGTGGACTCCACCTGGCTCTAGGGGTGGGGGGTCTTGAGTCACTGAAGGCGGGTGCGTGTAGGGTGCGGCCAGCACTGCTCTGTGTCCCAGACATTGGGGTGGGCTCTGGCTGGGCCTGTCGGCAAGAGGCCTGGGCACAGAGCATGAGGTATGCCATGGGGTGCCCCTTCCAGCTTGACTGATACAGGTGTCCAGAGAGGCGCAGCTGGGCTTGGACAGAAGATTCCCTGGAGAAGGGGGCTCTTCATGCAGACCAGATCAGAGACAAGGGCATGGACTGGACAGAGAAAGGTGGCTGAGGGGACCCAGCCCAGCCCTGGGGGCGGGGCAGGTGCGTGGTCCACCTGTGATCCTGGACACAGCTCTAGCTGAGCCGGGAGAGGGGCCTCCCCACCTCCCCTCCCTCAGTCCTGGTTGGAGTCAGGGGAGGCCTTCCCCAGTGGACACCCAGGAAGGAGGGTGGTGTGGACTTAAGGAGTGAGCCCATGCCTGGAGCTGCTCTTGGCCATCTGGGCACACACAGGACCCAGGCTGCATGCAACGCCCCGCTACAGCATACGCCCCACAGGGGCCGGGATACGGGGTCTGCCCGACATTTGTCATGCATGTGCCTGGGCCCTGGGTATGCACACACATCTGGGAGAGCCTGTATATGTAAAACCACATGATACACTGGATTGTGCGTGGCTACCAGGCACACACACACACTCACACACACACACAGCACCGTGCCCCCAGCCAGGGCATGTGGACCCCTCTGTCTGCGAGTGTCTGTCAATCCCGCTGCTGCCAGGATTCGCCCTGACTTTCCCCAATTACGTTCCTCAGAGAACATTTTATTAAAGACAATTTGTCAGGCCCATCTCAGTTTTTATAGGAGTAACAAGCTCCCTCTTTATTGCTTCCCGAGCATCCTCTGACAGAAAGAAATATGTTCCCTCCCCTGACCCCCGAGCTAGTAGATCAGCAGCGCCCCCACCCACCCCCAAGAGGCAAAGATTGCATCTGTTTGATTTATGGGTCATGCAGCCTGGCACCCGAACTTGCCTAAAAGTTGGGAAATATGATGACTCACCGTATTTGGCAGCTCATGCATACATATTTTTTCTAGAACATTCGCGCTCATACCCGCTATAATTGGGAGCTGTACAATCAGACATTCAGCTGCCAAAACAAAGAGCACAATTCACATCAACCTCCCAGACCAGAAGCAGAAGGAAGACAGTGCAGCAGGAAAAGGCTTAAAATGGGGCAGCACGCATTTGCAGCAGCTCAGTGACCCCTCAGAACACAGCCGGGAGCCCATTTCTCTCCAGGCTGCTCGGGAAGGACACAGGGTCCCAAGGTCAATTTCTGGAGCTGTCACTCAGACAAGGAGATGCTTCTGGAAGGCAGGTAGCAGGAGGTGACAGTCCCTCCCTTGCCTGTAATCCACACTCTAGGTGATGCAGTAATTCTACTTTTACGGAGCAAGTGAGCAAAGCCCAAGAGAACTCACTGAGGCATAAGGGAGTGTGTTGATCCACAGGAATGGTTCAAAGGCAGCGTAGGTTGCAGGTACGGCTTGATGGAGGAGTCTCAGCTCGCAGCCCGTGTGTTTTGCTAACAAGATGGCAGCCGCATCCTCCTAACAGCAAGTCCAGAGGGAACATCAGGTCCCTGAAACACATCACTGAGTCCCCTGGGCCGCGTGGCTCCCTGTCCATCCGTCTGTGGCTGGAGAAGTGGACCGCCCAAGACCTCCTCCATGCCAGAACAAGCAGTTTTCCTGAACCCCAGAGCCTGGGCGTGGGACTGGGGAGACTGCTCTAGGAAAGTGTGTGTGTGTGTGTGTGTGTGTGTCTGCCTGATGCTGAGTGGCAGAAAAACTGATTTATGTGACACTGTGTGTATATGAGTGAAAGTGTTAATCTGTCCTGTCCAACTCTTTGCAATGCCATGGACTGTAGCCCACCAGGTTCCTCTGTCCATGGGATTCTCCAGGCAAGAATACTTGATGGGGTAGCCATTCCCTTCTCCAGGGGATCTTGTCCACCCAGGGATCAAATCCAGGTCTCTTGCACTGCAGGCAGATTCTTTACTGTTGGGTGCCCCCTAACTCCTATGTTGAAGTCCTAGTCCCCATTGTGATGGTGTCAGGATGTAGGACCTTGTGGAGGTGATGAGGTCACAAGGGCGGGGGTCCCCCCCAGGGTGGAGTTAGTGTCCTTCAAGCAGAGGAAGAGACCAGCACGCTCTCTTGCCACCACATGGGGACATAGTGTGTGAAGAGGTGGCCTGAAGCCAGGAAGAGTCTCACCAGGAGCAGAATCAGTGCCTCTTGGTCATGGACTTCCGCCCCCAGAATTGCAAGAAACAAAGGTCGGTTTTATTTAGGCAGCCTGGGCTGTAGTGTTCTGTAGTGATGGTGGCCCAGGCAGGCTGATGTAGGCCTGTCCCAGGGAGTGGGAGATGCACCCCTAATGGACAGCATGGAGTGAGGAGCGTGGTCAGGACCGGCCACTGGACACTGAGGGTCCCTCTGGGGGAGGCAGAGGGGAAGTTGGGCCTGAGCACTGGCTCAAGGTCAGTGTGGAAGGGACTAGAGTGGAAGGTGGGGCACGTTTGCCTCTGGGAGGAGCTGGAGGAAGAGGAGAGGCCAGCAAAGGGGGACAGGTCAGGGGTGGCAGGACCAGGAGTGTGAGCGGAAGGAGGGTGTCTGTCCACTGCGATGCTATGACTGGCCAGGGCCAATTAGTGGCTGGAGGACACTCCTCCCCTGTCCCCGGGCCTGGTTTCTCCTCCAAACTCAAAATTCAATTTCTCCAGATCTTAGCGCAGTCCTGCTTTGCCTATTTTGGTGCCCTGCCCAGAGCGGGTGCGGAATTGGGGCCATCAAGGGGTGAGAAATCACTGCACTTCCCAGGCCTATTTCTCACAGTAACAAGTCATCACTCCTGTGTCTGGAGCCACTTCTCAGGATCTCAATACGTCCGCTTATCAATCTATACTTAATTGACATTCATAAAGCGTGTTGACATCAGAGGTGAGAGTCGCCCTTGGAGAGAGGGCTCTGTGGTGAGGCCACCTCTGCTACGGGGCTGGATCGACATCCCGGGAGGCCCCGTGGCTGGACGTGCGGGGTGCTCGTGGCCCCCCCATTTGCACATGGAAATCAGGACAACCGGGAGAGCAGCTGCCCCTGCCTTCTGGGGGCCCACAGCCCTCCTTGGCTTCGCTTCGCAGTGGCAGCTGTAGTGGGAGATGTGCACAGAAGGCCCTACCGTGCAGCCCGGCACCCAGATCAGATCCGCTGCCTGTTTGCTTCCACCCTTAGCCAGGGCACAGCCGCCCTGGGCCTCTGCCGTGGGCTCAGTGAGCACGCCTCTCCGGAAAGGGCCGAGGGGCGTGGGACAATGTGCTCGGGAGGGGTGTCACCGAAACTTCGTGTCGTTCGGTCACCAAGACGTGTCCGATTCTTTTGCAAACTGCATGGGCTGTAACCCGCCAGGCTCCTCTGTCCAGGGGATTTCTCCAGGCAAGAACACTGGAGTGGGTTGCCGTTTCTTTCTCCCGGGGATCCTCCTGACCCAGGGATCGGACCTGAGTCTCCTGCATCGGCAGGTGGATTCTTTACCGCCGAGCCTCCTAGAAGCCTCTGTCACAGCAAGTTCATTCAGCCCTGTTATCCCTCCCTTCACTGCACTGGTTCTGTGACTGCCGATGACCCAGCACGGAACCGGCTTGGCCGGGCCCAGGGCCGACCCTCACGGGCTTGGAGAAGCCTGGCTGCCAGGTTTGGGAAGGAAAGCCTGAACCACAGTTACCACCTGGCACAAGTGTGGCTTTGGCCAGGTGACTGCTGCTCTCTCCTCCAGGCTCTCTCCTCGAGGGGGAGATCCTGGGCTTGCAGACAACATGAGGCCCCAAGGGAGATACAGGATGCAGTGGAGGGGCATCGCAGGGGGCACCCTCCCCACCGCTGTGCCCTGCCCCTCCCTGGCTCCCCTCACTGCCCCGGCCTCACTCCCTGCCTGGGTGGGTACCAGGTGGGTGTGCCCATCTCGTGTCAGATGGCAGACGTGTCCAGCCCACCTGGATGGAGGCCAGCAGTGCTGCCCCACCAGGACGGTCCCTGGGACACTGGCCGAGTGACCAGGGGCTGAGAGTGCTAGGCCCTCGGCTGCCCGCCTGCTCCCAGCTCCCCTGATTGCACACGCCCTGGGCATCGTTTGTCTCCCTGACACGCTGTTCCGAGGAGGGCTCCCAGGTGCCCGCGGGGCCCGGGCCCTACGGACAGCGGTGCCTGAGGCCGAGTCTGTGACGGATGAGGACGAGGCCGCCGTCCCTGCTGTCCTAGGAGCCAGGGCGTTGATGGAACGGCCATCTCACTCTCTCCAACAAACAAGGAGCAGTGTGAACTGGGGGCCTATTTATCAAACACGGGTGCTTGCATTCTGCGCGGGCCGTGTTCCCGCTGAAATATGGCTCCTGCCCGGCTCCGGGCCCACGTGTGTACGATTTTATGATATTTCAGTTTTATGGAGGACATCTCACTGATGAATGTCTCTTAGTGAACGATCATTCTGGAATCTATTTTGCCTTCAAAAAGGCTTCTGCTGGAATGGACTGGGAGGGGGCGGACACCCTGTGATATATAAATCCACTGCCGGGAGCAAGGAGCTGGGAGGGAAGGTGGCCGGTGAGAGACGAGAATGAAGCGTGTGAGTCTGCAGCCAAATGCGCTCCCTCTGTCACTGTCTCAAGACTGTGGCTCGGGCGGAAGGGGGACCCTAGGATTCAGTGGTCGGAGGGAGCCTCTGGCTCCCCCACCTGCCTCTGTGAGGCCCCGGGGAAGCTCACTGCCCTCTGCGGGGGCAGGGGTTCATTATTCACGAACACTTGCATCCCCCTGTTCCGCGCTGTCTTCACACTCTGGCAGGGCTGGGAGGCAAGGCTGAGCTGCGCCTTGAGTTATAAGCACGGACCCCGGAGACCGTGAGCCTTCCCTCCACTCACAGTGCTTTCTGCCTGCTGTTTGGCCCAGACATCCCCAGCTGCCCCGGGGTCCTTAGAACTCATCTGAGATCTTGGCAGCTTCATTCTCTTGTGCGTGTGGCCCCAACGCAGTTCCTGAATTCACAGAATCCAGATCTGGACCCTGGACTGGACCCTGTCCTCTGGGCTGGGCTAAATTGCTTCTGCACCTGATTTAATGTCCCAGCCTGTTAATGAGGCTGACAGTTCCCCTCTGGGGCTGCGGAGCGTGGAAGTCCCAGTCTTGGCCCTCCAGCCCTGCCGGTCCATACGCTCACGACATGGACCCTAGCATCCCAGCCCAGCCTCAGGGGAGCAGCTGTCAGCCAGAGATGACCGCCAGTCCCTCTCCTTCCCAGAAATCAGGGGCCTGGCCCCGCTTTCTGCTTCCTCATCCTCCTCTAGGACAGAGGTTCTCACCACAGGATCCCCAGACCAGAGCAGCAGCATCTTCTGATAGACATGCAGACTCCCCGGCCCCGCCCCGGACGTGGGTCCGGAAGCCCTGGGCGGTTTAAGAAGCTGTACTTTCTATCACGGCCGGCACAGATGGAAATGAACTCAGAGACCAAGAGCAGCGCAGACTGACTGCCTTACAGCCCTGTGGGCAGAGACCTGATCCGGGTCGCTTGGGTTAAGGCCAGAGTGTCTTCCTCGGGAACTTCCCTGGCTGTCCAGTGAGGTGGACACTGCAGAGGCCACAGGTTCCATCCCCGGTCGGGGAACCAAGATCCCAAAATCCATGCAGTGTAGCTAAAAGAAAAAAAAGCAAAAGAGTCTTCTTTTCTGAGGTTCCAGGGGAGAAAGGGTTTTCCAGCTTCCAGAAGTTCCTACATTGCTGGGCTCCTGACCCCTCCCCATCTTCAAAGCCAGTGGCAGGCATCTCTCTGAGCATCCCGTCACATCCCACATCTCAGACCCCATGGGTGTGACCAGGGTGGGCCCCCTGGACTCCTCTCCTCATTCCAAGGCCCTAACTCAACCCCAGCTGCCAGGCCCGCTTCGCCACATGAGGTCACAGAGTCACAGGTTCAAGGACTGAGGTGTAGACTTCTCCAGAAGGTCATTGCTCTGCTGATCACGGGTGCCTTCTGGTGAGTCTGATGCAGCCCGAACACTTGAGATACAAGTGTTGTAACGGATGTCACACCTCAACAGTAAGCTCATCAGAGACATCCGGTCTTATTCACACTGGTGTCCCTGACGAGGTCTGTCCCCACGCCCATCAGATAACAGAACTTCAAGGAGCAAAAGGGTTCACCTGTGAATGAGTGAGTGAGTGAGTGAATAAGGAGACAGCCACCCCACTCTCACTCAGCCTTCCATTTCAGAGAACATGGTAGAAAAAAGAGTTCAGAATTGGGATCAGAGAGCCTGCATGGGGCTGCCAGATAAAATACGTGATACCCAGTTAAACCTGAATTTTTGATTCAGTGTAAGTATGTCTCTTGCAATTTGGGGACATACACATAGTAAAACAATATAGTTTGTCTGATTTTTTCTCAAATTTGACTGGGCATCTTATGTCTTTATTGGCTGAATATGGCACACCTAACCATGGGTCCCAGCCATGCCCCGGTGCTGAGACTGGGGAATCCGCAGTTTCTCTGGAAGACTCTCTTTCCTATCTGATGGTCAGGAAGCATCCTTTTCTCTCCCCTGGACTCTCCTGTCCAGTCTCAGGGGTGATCTCCTGTCCGTTCCCTCCACTAATCCTGGGACTTGGGGGAGCCCTCCTTGAGGAAAACAAGCCAGGGGTGATCTAGGGAGGGTCTAGGGCCTGGAAAGTTCTACCAGAAGCTTGTCTGTTGTGCCCACCCAGAGCATGGGTTCTCACATGCACACTGGGCCCCAACTTCAGGAGCAAGAAGAGTGTGGATCTCAAGATCCTGTCTCATGCCTAGCATTCCAGGTACGGGATGAGCACTGGACCGCCCGGTTTCCCCCACACTCTGATGGACTCAGGGTCAGTGCTGGAGTAGGGGGCTGCCCACAATAGCCAGGACCCTTGTCCATCCCCATGTCCTCTGCATGGAGCTTTGGAGAATGGGAAGAATGCCCACAGCATCTCTGGGCGAGACCCAACGATCAGCTGCTTTCGTGGGTTCTAGGAAATTGTCCTCCAAAAAAGGGCCAGTGACAATTCTTGATTTCATCTTTGGAGACATTCATGGAGCAGAAGCTACATGAAAGAGAAGGCACTTGAACATGTGACCTGCTCTCAGGAAGAGAAACCACAGAAACCTCTCACACTGCATCGACCGTGCATTCAGGACCCACCCCTGGCTCTTCCCGGAGCCTTATTATCCTTTGATCTTTGTAATAACGTGTTTCTTTCCCAGTAATAGCTTTTCATCATCCTCCCAGCCTATTGATTAGAACTCTTTTCTGGGCTTCGGAGATATTGGCTAAAATAAGGGACAGAACAATTCAGCCCTGGGATGCTTGTGACGCCGTCTTGCCCACACAGGGTGGGATCGGAGACCTGGGAGAGGAGGGGCCTGATCATCGTTAGTGTCACTGTTGTCTCTGCCCTTCCGGCCTCATCCTTCTGTTTCTGCCTTGGTGACTGTGTGACCACAGCTGCTGGCCAGGCCGATCCCTCGGGGGACCCAGGGCCGGCAGAAAGGAAGGGGAGGTGGGTAGCCACACGTGTCTCCTGGCAGAGGCCGGGGTGTGGTGATCTGTTACTGGAACCCCAAGTTTAGAGACTCAGGCACAGGATCTCTACCTTTAAGAGGGAAGAAGGGATCCACCACTTAGTGAAGTGACAGTGAGGACTCGTGGACAGTGGTCTGGAAGGTTCTGAAAGGACAGATCTTCAGGTCCCATGGAGCAGAAGGTACAGGCTGAAAGGCACGGGGGGCCGTGCGGGCTGCTGTGGAGTCAGGTCAGGATGGCCCGGCTGGTGAGCTGGTGAGCTGGTGAGCTGGCCTTTCAGTGGAGTTAGAATGGCTGCAAGCTTAGGAGTGGTGGGTCTGGCTCCGCACAGCACTGTCCGAGTGTCCCCTCTCGCTCCCTCCGGACAGAAGCTGCCTCAACGCTCTCCCTATAAACACACAAGTGAGTGGTTTTATAGCCAATGAGTGAATTTTTAAAAAGTAACTGAAGCTCCCTCCAAGGAACCCCAGGACCAGAGATTCAGAAAACAGATGTCAAGGTAAAAACTCCTCTTTGCTTTTGATTCCTGACAACACTGAACATATATATATTTTGAAATTTGTGTCTCAAAATGCTTGGTGAGACAGAGAACTGCTTCCAAGCACGAGGACGTGGCTTTTCTCGACACCTCTTACAGCAGGGCCCCATCCATCACTTTCACAAGTTCGATGAAACCG